AACCACCGATATGGGGGCGGCCAATCACTACAAACTTTCTCGGAACCCGATACCCCCTCAGAAAGACAGGAATGGATTCTTTGAGGACGGGCATCACACCACTCCAACAACATCCGCCGCAACCAACTAGTGAAGCCTGCGCAACATGCAGGGTTGGCACTGCACCGCCGCACCACCTCAAGCCCATTACCACTGTCCCCAGCTTTGATCTTTCACAGCCGGCTCTTCCTGCTCTATACCAGACTTCTTCAGCACAGTGATCGCGGCCCCCCCCCGGCCTGGGCAAACATGGACTGGGCAAGTCGCTTGTTGGTGCCCTTCTTGTCCTACATGTGGGCGATGGGTTACGTACCTCGGGCTGATATCTCATTCCTCCTCACCCTGGCCTTTCGGCATCCCGCCCGCTTCCCCCCTTGTCCTCACAGTGCCCAAGCTCCTCTCTTTGTCTGGGCTGACTGCAGTCCCGCCTTCTGAACCCCCAACATGGATGGCATTTTGTCTGTCTAAATACCACATATATGCCGTGTTGTACCCGTCCCGCCTCCGGACCTCCTTCCCCAGTCCATGTAATCCTTGAAGAAACCACGCCTACCGAAGCCTCCAAGATGTTGTCTCGCTCCAGCTTCAGCATACGGAGGTTCCTTCCGCAAAATCGACCAGACTCATCAGGTGATGCTGATGAGCTTGAAGAACACGACGAGATTACTCAGTTGAAGCTTTACCGGCACAGGCACTCGGCGCAGCCTGCCATGTATCAAACGAAGCTAGCCGACTCCCCTCTGATACACAGATCACAGAGCGTCCACCAGGTCGTGAGGCCTCTTCCTGCTTTGCCCATTGACTCCTCGCGTTTGTCTAGCAACTCTCTTTACAGCTTCGATAACTACACGGAGCCGAGTGTCAAAGGCAACTCCCATGATGCGAAGATTTGTTCATCACAGAGAGACGTTAATCCCCTCTATACACGATCAGCACCCAAACGCCTGTCAGAGCGCAGACATCTCAGGATCACGCCGCCACAAAGTATATCGCCTCTGAAATTAGCCATCGAACCTTCGCATCATCACCTTGCTGTTATCAGGGACAACGACGCGGCCGCAGAGCCCACTGGGACGCTCAAGGAAGCAGTGGTAGAGAGCCAAGAAGAGGCGAAGGTCGACGACTGGTCCGAGACGGTTCAGCAGCTCATCAAAGAAACAGACGAAGCCTTCCAAGCGGTTGGAGCGGCGCTTGCTCAGGTGCAGCTCACCCCACAAGCCTTCATCAGCTCTACAGAGCCGGACGTTTCCTCGTCCCCACCGCTGTCGAGTGCTCCAGGCACCCCCTGGCGCACACCGGCACGCCTTGCACTCAAAAGGCAGCCATCAAAGTGCATGGCACCCCCCGTTGTGCCGGCGCGGAGGGCATCTGTATCCAAACCGAAGCGGACAAAATCAAAAAAGTCTAAGACTGCGAGAAAGCCAGCACTTTCTTCGGAACGGACGCCGCGCTGGGCTTTCGGCGAAAGTGTGACGGACATGTTCAAAACGCCATTCTTCCGAAAGATCGAGGCGAACGAGATGCTGGCTCCGGACCGTCTCCAGGTTGCGAGACTCAGCAGAGATTACCAGCTACGCCAGACGCGCTCTTCCGAGACCCTGTTCACCGAGGACAGCGAAACCCCAGTCGAACCCTTCCATCTGCAAGATCTACCTTCTCGGATCGGGGCGGCCGGGGTTCAGACATCGGTCGCACCAAGTGGTGCTGTATCACAACCAATTCCATCTGAAATGCCTGTGCGACGAGATTTTTCTGTCGCGAGGAGAACATCGAGGACCTGTGCAAAGATGGATGCCAAAGCCGAAAATCAGATGATGTTCAAGACGCTCACATTTCCCCACCCGCCCGCCAAGAACACGCATCGCCACTCTTCCAGGACAGCGCAGCAGAGCCGACCCCTGTCTACCATACCCGAGCTTCTCGTCACTGTCCCGACTCCTGAAAAAGGCGACAAGATGCCTGCGGCAGATGTGAGGGTCTTTCATCGGGGCCGGACATTTGCCCCCGTCCACGACGAAGATTTCGTGTTCTTTACCTCAACTCCCTGCACCCTAACGGTGCCTGGATTCCGCCATGGACGCATCCGATTCCCCAAGGCTGAGGTTGTCAAGGGCAGGAAGATTGCCGCCGATGACACGCTCGACTGGACGGCCTTTCAGATGGCCATCTTGGGCGGCGCTGGCGACTTTTTCTCGGACCCCTCGGATTTCGCGCCGCGGACTGAGGCGGACGAGATTGACGAGCTCACGGATTGGTTCGCCGACTTTGGCTTTGAAAACCACGGCCTCTTGATCTCCTCACGTCGCCACAGCGAGAAGACGCTGAGCATGACGACAGCAGAGACGATTTCACCGACGGCCTCAACGTTCACGGACTCGACAGACGCCGATCTTCCTATTCCCGTGGCGCCAGAGTATCCCACGGGGTTCTGGAACGCGGGCCATGTTGACGCGTCCAAATTTTTGCAGGACCAAGGTCACTGCAATATCAGACGGTGGACCATGGACGGGCCGCAGAAGCGGTACAAGAAGGATAGTCAGGGGAGCATCGATAGTCTGCGGCAAAGCCCCGAGCTGGATGTCGTGTACCTAGGTGGGGCGTACGGCGAGGGGGATGCCGTGCCAATGGGCTTCAACCTTGTTCATGATTTGGGGGAGTTTCTCAGGTGGGAGGCGGAGAATTCGTACGCTTCGCCAGCATGGGGGCGAGGGTAGGGGATGAGACTGAAGAAGGGCAGCGGCATGAGGCAGAACAATTCCCATGTTGGCGTAGGCGTTTCGAAGAGCACGGCAGACTGCAGACTCGGGTGTCCCATTCCAAGGGGAAAAAAAGTAATCAGTGGAATTTTTAATGCTGTCGATTGAGAACCAGGGTGATCCGAGACGCAGTGAAGAGAAGAGGTTCGACATGGAGGTTGATGAGCAGTGGAGTGTAGTCGGAGTCAGGGGCCCCCTGAAGGCCGCTGAAGGCCCCGAGGCCGCTGGAGGCCCCTGAAGGCCCCTGAAGGATGCAAAGCCCCACAGCACCAGCCACAGCGTGCATTCAGCCCGACGCGGACCGACCCCACGTGGCCGAACCCCCACCTTCACGTCACGTCCCTGTCGTCACTAGTCGCGTCTGGATCGAGAGCGCCAACTGCAACTGCAACAGTACAAGGATTCCATGCACATGGCCCCCGAAACCCAATTCACAACAGCCCTTCGACACCCGAAAAGCACCAGCCGCATGGTCCCGCTGAAGAACCGACTCTCGCACAAGAAGTGCCAACCACCGGCCCTCCTCCCTCTTGGCTTGAGCCCTTGCCACGCGAAAGACCAGAACGAGGCTCACGACCGAGCTGCCTCGCCTCGCCCCATCCCGTTCCGAAGATCCAGCAGCCCAGCACCTGCGTACCCAGGATTCGCGTACACCCCTCTCGCTCTCCAGCTTGCTCGACAAGCCCCTTGCCCGGCGCCCAACGAGCCGACAGCCCGCGACCATGCTCCGCCGGCCCGCTACGACCCTGGCCATCACGTCCGAAGACGTCGCCGCCTACGAAGACCGGCGCATCCGCGAGCACGACGCCGCCGAGGCCCGCCGCGTCGCGGCCCTCAACAAGGCGCACTACCAGCGGCAGCAGGCGCAGCTCCAGGCGCAGGCGCAAGCCGAGGCCCACGCACAAGCACAGGCCCAGGCACAGGCGCAAGCGCAGGCGCAGGCACAGGCGCAGTACCAGCAGAGCCCGTACGAGCCGCAGACGCAGTCGCCGTACGCGCCCCAGACGGAGAGCCCGTTTCCGGATCGACATCATCACCATCACCACCACCACGAGCATCACCAGCAGCAGCAGAGACAGATGATGCCGCCGCCGCCGCAGCCGCGGTTCGAGGAGAGCTACACGGAGCAGGACACGGAGATGCTTGTTGGGTCGAGCGAGGACGATGACGAGGGGGACGCGGGCGATCTGGCGGGTGCGGACGGTAGCGTTCGGGGCCGTGGGGTGAGGGGGGCTGGAGGACGGGGGCGCGGGGCTGGCGTCATGCTTACGCCGACGCCGGGGCCTGACGGTATGGCGAGGGGGGGCCGGACGAGGGACGACAGGATCGGGGTTGGGAGGCGGGGGCGGTGATCGCTGGCCGAGAAGATGTTGTATATGTATGTCACGAATGGATGTCTGTGGTTGGATCTGTGAATTGCGAGCCACGTTCTGCTCATGTGATGGCTTGCTATGTGAGGCATGGAGCTTGGAAGCCTGGCGAACCCTAGGTCGAACTGTTCGCTCCACGGCGTCCTGCCATGTCATGCGCAGCCTCACCGTTGAGAGACGCCGTTCCTTCCTCGATGGCATCCTGCCTGGCACCCACCCGCCAGGCAACAGCCCCCAGACCCTTATAATCGCGTCAGTGCCCCCGTCTCCCCAACAACCACCATACCGTGACGCATGGTGTGGTGGTTCAGAGGCCCGCTTAATAAATACCCGTACACATGCCTCTAGATGTGAGGGCGCGCAAGCTAAAAAGGCGCGTGGAGGGATCACCGGTTTGACACGGGGTGCTGCAAAAAGAGAAGTCTTTTTTGGCCCCTTTTTGAGTCTTGCGTCTGCTGGCACTTCCTCCAATTCACCTTGGACGGCTGCTCCGAAGATCTTGCGACGTGTTCTGACTTGGTAATTGCTTCTCGACGGTTGCATGATGGATGTGGACATATGCAAGGCTCCTTACTTGGGACTGAACCCACTAAAGTCCTGGCGCATTCTGATGGCTCTCAAACAGTAACATTCGTAGACAAGAACGCTGCATAGCTAATCATAAAACCCGAACCATTTGGAATTTCTCCTGATCATCCCAACCCCCATGATGGCCATCATCATCATCATCATCATCATCATCATCATCATCATCATCATCATCATCATCATCATCATCATCATCATCATCATCATCATCATCATCATCGTAGAATACCACCAACAGTCGCCGCCGCTACCAGTGATAGCCCGTCCCTCTGTCCCTCTCAATATCATCCGATGGGCTTGAAACCCTCATCTGCTCGAGGTCAGCAAAATCTCAAAGAAGAGGCAATAGGGAAAAAGCACTCACCTCCAGAAATGTCCTCGCCTGCGTGATGCCCGCCACGTCAGCCAAATAGCGCAACCTCCCTTGGAGGAAGCGCCTCTCGCCATCCTTGGCAAAGTCGCTCACGCTCGCGGCGAACAGCGGCCACAGCACAATCTGCCCGGCGACTCGCTTCAGCGGATCCCGGCCCTGGCCTCAGCGCCACAGGCAAAGTTGGCCCGCGTGTGGTCCCGTCCGTTCCAGCGGCAAAAGTACGGCGCCAGCGCCACGAGGTCGGCGACGCGGCGGCCGGCCGTGGCCGCCATGTCACGGTACTCGTCGCCGGCGCGCCAATCGGCGTCAGGGCCGGCGAGCCAGGCGGCGCAGCGGAGGACGGACGTCGTCAGCATGAGGTGGCTGACAAAGGTCATGAGATGGACAACACCCATGGACATGGTCTCGAAACCGTAGACGGGCCCCGGGGCCGTGGCGCATGTGTCGAGGTCGGCGTCCGGGCGTGATGCGACCCACTCGGCGACGGGGCTCGCCCACTGCGGCGGGACGTGGGTGTCGTTGAGGCGGCGGTAGCGGGCCTCGAGGGCGCGCGCGCTTTGCAGTATGGTGAGAACCCTTTGGACGGTGCGGGGGTGGCGATTGTCGTGGTCGGCGTCGCGTGCCTTGCGGAAGACGCGATCTATGTCCTGCCGAATAGCCGAGTTGGCAATGTTGAGGGCGGCAATGTCTTTTTCGCGTGCGCAGGTGTGACGCAGAAGCCAGGTGAACTCGGAGATTTCGGGGGCGCAAGGCAGACAGGAGAAGCCGAGGACGTGGTTGCGTGTCGTTGTGAACATGGCTTCACCTTCCTGCGTCGCGAGGCCTTGTTCGCCGCGGAGCTTCACCATCATGGCCGCGCCTTTCATGTGGTTGATGTACTCCTTGATGGAGCCGCGTGAGGACGTGACCAGTGTCTGTTGGTCCCTGTCAGTTCTGAAGACGTGCAAGGCGTGCTAGCTTTGTGTCCCGTCACCTACCTCGTACAACGCGAGCAGCAAAACGGCGGCCAGCGTCTCATCGCTCTTGGCGAGGGTCGGATCCTGGATGGCTTGGTTCATGGCGCGTACGGCGACCAGGTAGTGACGTTGCGCTGCGCTCAGGGCACTGCCGATGACAGTCTTGCCATGCTGGGTGGCGATGGAGGCAAGAGATGTAGCTCTGAAGGCGGACAGGAAGACTTTTGCCGGCTGCGTCTTGCTCATGAACTTGGGGACCCAGGGGAAATAGCCGCGGACGGGGAGATTTCCCTCTCGCATGGGGATGAGGACGAATTCGGACAGAAAGTAGGACGTGGCGCGATCTTCCAAGTGGTTGATGATGGAAAGGGGGATGTATTGATCGGCTCTGCCATTGTCACCGTCGCTGCTTGTGCTGCTGGTTGAACTGGTGCTCATCAGGCTGTCCAGACTGCTGTTGCTGCTGTTGCTGTTGCTGCTCCCGTTCCGGCGATGCAACACGGCCATTGCTGACGTTGTCGTTGTCTGCTTGTGACTCGTAAATGGCGTCTGGAGGCACTCGGTGAAAGGTGCCTGGGGTGGGCTGGTGCGATTCTCGGCCCCTGTGGTGTCGCCACGCATCTTTCGAAATCGCCTGATGGTTGCCTGCGTCTGGTCACGGATTTTGGCTTCGAAAGGGTCAGAATAGCCTGGACAGTCTCGTTTGGCCTTTTTGCACTTCATGCAGAAGGGCTTGACCTCGTCACACTTGATGCGTCTCAACTTGCACAGCTTGCAGCCGCCAGAAGGCTTTCCCGTGTTGACCATGGTGACGTCGTTCGAGGTTTTATTCTTCTTCTTCTTTTTTTATTCGTTCGTTCGAAAAGTATCTAGGCTGGAAAAAGATGAGAAGGAATAGACCAGTGAGCCAAATCGTTGGCCGGTGTTTCTACGGGAAAGGGACCAGGGACAGAAAGAGGGACGTCAAGCCGGTTGAAGTATGCACTCTTGGATGAAGTAGGAGGCATGACAAATTCGGCTGAGAGAGCCAGTCGAGTGACAAATGAATCATCCCAAAGATGCAGGAAAAGTTTGTCGAAGAATCCGCGTTTCATTCACGGTCAAAGACATTGGCGAGACGTTGTGGCCCAGCAAGGAGAGGGGCACAGGGAGGCCTGAAAATGAGACGGTCATGGGTGAAGGGCAACAGGAGCAGAGTTGATGCTTCATCTGAACTTGGGCGGCCAAGGACCGACCCACGCAGACGCGACAAGTCGGCAGCGGCCATCAGTTCATGAAACGTTGAAAGCAGGTGTTTCAAACAGTGAGATTAAGAAATTTGGTTAGTAGGGAGAATGCATAGTACTGCTGGGTGATGGACGTTGTCCGGCAGACTCGTGGGATTCGACGACGTCTGACAGATGGATGTCTGATGCGATGCCTGACTGTCGGCAGGGCGGAGCTGTCAGGTGTCCATCAACCAAAGGAGAGGTCGATCGAGGTTGCATTCTGGTCCAGAGTCGCAGTGTATGTTGGATGGCAATGATGGGAATAAGGTCGGCGTGAGCCCCGGCGTGCTGGGTACCGATGTGTTTGATAATTACGGCTGACACTGGTCGGCAGACGGGGCAACAGGATCTGCCGATGGACCTGAGGGACACGAGGTCAGCAGTCGTGCAGGAGCAGGGCTGCTCATTGCAAAGCGCTGATGGATGCAAAGCGCTGATGGATGCAAAGCATGACAAGGCCAAGGGCGGCACCTTGACTTTTGCTTGGGGAAGGACAAACAACGTGACAGCTGGAGCCTGACCTTATCTTATCTCGATCCTAGAGTGGGCCCGAAGCTGCGAATTCATCCGTGGCCCCGCTTCCGCTTAATAATGAAGCCGATTGGCCAGACACCGCAGACTCCACCTTCTCCCGAGTGCGAGTGCGACTCCGACTGCGACTGCGGCTGCGATTCGACTACAACCCACAGCTCACACTTGCCAGTACAACAAGCTTCGCCTGACGCATTCCAATTTGCCAGGCTGATGGCTTGTCAAGAAGATGACGCTAGAGGCAGAGATGACCAAACGATGGGACCTTCTGTCGATACCCATGGCACGCTTCTATTGAACCTTTCTGCGGCTGCCTTCCTCCCGATCGCGACATGGCTCGCATTCGTCAGCCCTACCAGCCTGGTGGCCCCATGGTCTGATGACCCGGCACCCCGTCGGATCCATGGCAGAAGCCAGCAAGGCTCTGTCACCCTCACCTCCTTTTCTGTGAATTCATAGGGCTGGCCGGGCTCAAGTCGTGCCGGTCGACATGCTCTTCCTCCTCGCACCCGGACACGCATCCGGACATGCAGCCAGTGGCCCCCCATCAAGGCCACCAAGGGATGATGACACCGGCAATTGCTGTGCCGCCGTACTGTTTCGGGTCTTCCGTTGGTTCTTTTGATTCTTCAATTCTTTCATTCTTTTGGTGAACCTTCTCTTGATCGTCTTGGATATATAGACGGCATGGCGCAAGCTCGATAGTGCTGCTCAGCTCGGAACCTTTTCTACTTCATCTCGAACTCGGAGCCTTTTCCAGTACAGCAGCAAACGCTGTCCTCTTCCATCCCGTCGCAGTGCACCCTGCTTCTTGCTTCGTCCCGCTTCACTGCTTTCCAACCAAATCGACCATCATGAGTGACACAATCCTTGACAGCTCGGGAGATGCCTCTGAAAAGTCGGCCATCCAGGAGGAGCCTCCTGTTGAGCCCGTCGCCTTCAAGCCGGGCCGCGACTTCTTCCTCGCCTTCGCCGCCCTGTCGATCCTCATGCTCGCCGTCGCGCTCGACGCCACCTCTCTCGGCGTCGCCCTGCCCATCATGAGCACAGAGCTTGGCGGCACAGCTCTTCAGGCCTTTTGGTCTGGTACCAGCTACCTTCTCGCCAGCACTGTTCTCCAGCCCAGCTTTGCCTCGATGAGTGCCATCGTCGGCCGTAAATACGTACGGGCGCCACAATGCCACCAACAACTGCTGCCTCGCAAACATGGCTGACTGTATCTCCAGGTTGTCTACGTCAGCTGCTTGCTCTTCACGGTTGGCTCCATCATCTGCGCCGTGGCCCAGAACTTCACCGTCCTCCTCATCGGCCGCAGCATCCAGGGCATCGGGGGCGGCGGCATCATCGCCCTCAGCGAAGTCATCGTCACCGACCTCGTGCCCCTCGCCGTCCGTGGCCAGTGGCTGTCCATTCTCTCGGCCATGTGGGCCATCGGCACCGTCGCCGGGCCCCTCATGGGTGCCGGCTTTGCCCAGCACGCCACCTGGCGCTGGATCTTCTGGATCAACCTGCCCCTGATGGCCGTCGGCCTCCTCATGATCTACTTCTTCCTCAACCAGACCGAGCTCCCCGGCGACCTGCGCACCAAGCTCGCACGCTTCGACTGGTTCGGCAGCTTCCTCTTCACCGCCGGCTCCACCATTCTGCTTTTCGGCATCTCCACCGGCGGCGTCATGTACGACTGGGGCTCCTTCCGCACCCTTCTGCCCCTGATCCTCGGCATCCTCACCCTGCCCGTGTTTGCCTACTGGGAGCTTCACTGGGCGAAAGAGCCCGTCATTGACAGAGGCATCTTCCGAAACTGGACCATGATTGCCAACTACATCATGACCGTCTTTCACGGCATGATCCTTTGGTCGCTCATCTACTTCCTCAGTATGCTCACCTCCTCTCCCTCTCTCTCCCCATTGTCTGTTGGCGTTTCTCCCCGCATCTGACTGACCTACGCCCCCAGTTCTGTACTACCAAGGCGTCAAGTTCTACTCCCCCATCATTTCCGCCCTCGCCTGCCTCCCCGAGAGCCTGACCGTCGCCCCCGCCGGCATCGTTGTCGGCGTCATCGCCGCCATCACGGGCCACTACCGCTGGTCGCTCTGGACGGGCTGGGCGCTGACGACGCTCGGCGCCGGCCTCCTCTACCTCCTGAACCCCGACACGCCCGTCCGCCACTGGATCCCGCTCAACCTCCCCATCGGCGTCGGCACGGGCATGCTCTTCCCCGCCATGGCCCTCTCCATCCAGGCCGCCTGCGCCCCGCACCTCAACGCCCAGGCCGCCGCCTTCTTCGCCTTCCTGCGCACCTTTGGCCAGTCCGTCGGCGTCGCCGTCGCCGGCGTCATCTTCCAAAACGCCCTGGCCGACGAGCTCGCCGCCACGACCGAGTTCGCCGCCGTCGCCGACCGGTACGCCGACGAGGCCACCATCGTCATCGGCATCATCAACGGCATGGCCCCCGGCCCCGACCGCGCCGTCCTAGTCGCCGCCTACGCCGACGCCCTCAAGACCATCTGGCTCAGCCTGCTCGCCTTTGCCGCCTTCTGCCTCGTCCTCAGCGCCTCGGTCGCGAGCTACTCGCTGCAGCAGGCCCACGACCCCAAGCAGGCCCTCGTCACGAAGCAGCGGGACGCCGCCGCCGCCAAGAGGGCGGCGGCCGACGTCGAGGCCGCGACGGCCAAGGCGTAGAGGAGACTTGTTGGGTATGCGGTTTCAGATAGCCTGGACTGTTTTTGACACGGGTTGGCAACTTGGATTTTGCAGCGCTTTACTATGTAACCCTAATGAGAATAGACCAGACATGACTGATTTGGCATCTACCTCGCTCTCCCGTCTTGACTGTCGAGTTCAGCATTGTCATATCAACCATAGCAAGCCCAGGCTGTCAACAGGCACGTAGCCATCGGCCTTTCATGCCCCCTCACAAGAAATGTTTAGAAAATCAACCCATAGCTGTCGCCCGACTCAGTCCCCGATACCCCGCCTCCGAATACGACACAACTGCAATGAGTCGTGGTAGCGCCGTGTAAAGCGGGCTCCGACCCGCAGACCGTGCGTGCCGGGCGAGACGCGCGGAGACGCGCCGCTGGCGTGGGTCCGGGGCTTCCATGTGGGCCGAGCTGGAGCTGCCCCGAATCCATATGTCTGGCGCGATTCAGCCAACGTCCACCGACCCTCGGAAACATCAGACATTACAAGTCACGGATCGTAGGAGGAGAAACAGTCATTGATCATGTCATGTCTCGTAGGGCTATGTATGTTACCAAGTCGCTTCGCTCAAAAGGGGGGAAGAAGTTGCTAAGATCAAAGTGGCATAAATCGTCTCTCGTGTGAGAGTCCTCCGTAGATGCATCACCGGCGGCACCTCAGGCCGTAGGCAGCTCAGCTCCAGCCAGGCTCGGCAGGGTATCGTCGTCCCCCAACACCAGTCATTGGGCTCACGGCCCGCTCTCGCTCGTTCCACCTTTTCCTGTCGTCCCTGAACTCGCGGTCGCGAGGGTCCCATATCTCGTCCCGCATGCGATCAACGTCAGCGTGGCTGCTGGTCCGGCGCTGGGCCTCGGGGCGCGGCATGTACCGCGGCGCCCGCTTGCGCATCTCACGCTCGTCTTCCCGCTCGCGTTCGCGCTGCCTTTCCCATTCCCTCTGGCGGCCGCGATCTCTGCCGCGGTCTCGCTCCCGCTCCCTCTCGCGGTCGCGTTGATACTCGTCCCGTTCCCTGTCACGATTCTCTCGAAGCCGCTGGCGTCTGCGCCTCTCGACGGCGCTCTCGTCAGAAGCCGCGTCCGACTCATCGGAATCTTTATCAGACCAGCTGCGACTGAGCCTCGACGCCCCGTTGGCGCGCGCCACCTGATCTCGCTTCCTACGCGCAGCTAACACTTCACGTTCCCTTTCTCGCTCGCGCTCGCGCTCACGTTCACGCTCACGGTCTCGTTCACGGTCGCTCCGCCGACCCGAGGTGCTTCGGTGCCGATCGGGCGATCGACTACCCGGCAAGAACGAGGTGACCTTGTCAAACTTATCCCTGATAACCTCTGGGATGGGTAGCGTGCGCTTGCGAGTCTCATCTGTTCTCGTCTCGGCTCGGTGAGGATGAAGGTTTTGTGCTGTCGCAGTGACGGCCGGTGATGGAGGAACCTGTGAATTCTTGGGACCCATGCGGCGAATGGTTGGCGGGGGGCGCATCGATTCGTGGCTCTGCGGCCGACGTTTGGTGTCCGGGCTCGCGTTGCCGCCATCAGAATCAGACGGCGCATCCGAGCTCGAATGCTTTGCCTGGCTGTGACGTCGTGGCGGGGCTCCAGGCCTGCCCGGCGGAAAGTTGCTGCGAGAATGCACCGGATCATGTGATGGCGAAGGGTAATCGGAGAAGCTGCGGCGGCGGTTGCGTTCATCAGCCGAGGAGCTTCCCGGTCGATGGCGTTCGTTGAGGGGCGAATGGGGGATGTGAATGCGCTGGCTTGCTGCCCTGCTAGGAACGTGAGAAAAAGGCATGGGCCGGTTGAAGTAGTCGGGTTGGGCTGGGCGCATCCTTGGCGAGGGCTCTGGGTATGGGTTGCGAAAATGCGCATAGGCGACCTTGACCTTGGGTTCGTCCCGCTCTGGCCCCGAGGATGAGTGCTCATGATGGGGCTGCTTGAACGTGGCCGGGTCGGATTGAGGCGTGGCGTCTTTCTTCAGTTTCTCGGCGCACGCCTTGTGCCACTTGTCGACCTCGGTGTCGGCTTCGAGTGGGAAGGCTTCCTTGGGCAGCTCGGTTGGAAAGGGCTCACCCGTTTCAGGGTGCTTCAGCGCCCAGTTTTTGACGACATATTGCATGAAGGGAACGTGTTCTTCAGGCCCGAGCAGGATTTCGATGGACTCCCAGCGCACGAAGCCGCGCGGGGTCAAGGCAGGGACGGATGGAGGCTCAAAGTCATTGCCGGGAATGGGCTGTAAGGAGTGTTGGCAGCCAGTAACACGATAGATGTAGGATATGGACTCATGGTCCATGCCGGTGAAGAGGGCTGCGCAACACGATGCAACGGTCAGCAGCGATTCTCAGAATGGGGAAGGGGCATGTGCCAAATCAGGCTCCTCACTTACAGTCGTAATCGCCGCCGACGGCCCGGTAAAAGGCAGCCAGCTTGGTGGGCGTCAAGAAGTGAACGCGCTTGTCGCCGATTTCTGTCATCTGGACAAGGCGGTCAGCAGGCGCCGGTCAGGTAGCTCGCATCAGGTAGCTAGCTAGCAGGGAGAAAGGCGACGTACAATGTGTTTTGCGACGGCGCGCAACAAGGCCTCGAGGGTTTTTGTCGGCGTCTTGTCATCCTGAAAGAGGTAGCCCCAGTATGCGGGAGAGGTCTTGGGTGATTCGGGTCTCGTCGCGTTGGTGTTGTTGGGACTGGCGGACTCTTTCGAGTTGGCCTCTGCGGTGGGTGCCGCCATTCAGGGCGTTGTTGGTCGCGTCGGCATGGATTTCGAAGCTTGCGCAGGCGTGGGTGTTGGTGTGTGGTGTGTGTGAGCTGTGACGGTGATGTTGGGATGCTGCAGTGAACAGTCGGAAGGACTCGGGGGGGTTGCAGCTCTGGTGTGGGGGAGTGGGAAGATGTGGGTTGTTGTCGGTCAACGGCGCAGTCGGTGGTGAATGGTGGTGTAGCACACACAATCGCATGCGAGCAGGCGGAGCGTGGGAAAGCAAGAGAGCGTAGGAAGCGAGAGGCAGGGAGAGGGGGCAGCGGTGTTGGCGGGAGAGCGGGATGGCGGGATGGCGATGGACAGGGGATCGTGGGCGAAGGAAACGCGAGGGTGGTATTGACATGGACTGTCGTGAGGGACGAAACCCAGGGTATATGTATCGAGCGCGTCAATCAGCCCAGCCAGAGGCAGCAGAGGGTGATCATACGAGGAGTCAAGCGGCGGCAGGCAGCGGCAGAGGATGGGTCCAGCGTGCTGTCGCTGTCAGGGTGCACTCGTTGGATTGCTGGATGTGTTGAATATGCTGGATGTGCTGGATATGCTAGCGCTGCTGGCTGATCGGCGGCTGGGCTGACCTTGGCCTCAGGTGAAGTGCACCCAAGTTGGCAGGCTTCAGCCAAGCGCCGTGACTCAGATTGCGTCGAGAGAAGTTGGAGTGCCAAATAGGGACGGCGGCCTCGTGGGTGCAGCTGTAGCGGCCATAGCCATGCAAGCCACGGTGCTCTGTAGTGGGAGGGAGATCCCAAATGGTGGGATGGTGGGATGGCGGGATGGCGGGGTGGATGGTTGGATGGTTGGATGAAGCCCGTGGTGGGAAGAGGGGCGGAGAGGGGAGAGGACATGACGATTCATCCCAGGTGCCTTTTGCGTAAGGTACAGTACAAGTGAAGCGGGGCTGACTCCAACGGCGGCCAGAAATGGTGATCTGCCTGGGCGACGGGACAGGGCAGGCACAGCACAGGGGCAGCCAGTACCTTCCTCAGGCACTGGGCGTGCGATGTAGGGGACTTGGCGTCTTCGTCCGCCCTGGGGCTTGCCTTGTGTCTGTTACCTTACCTTGCTCGAGACAGGTACATCACTCTACTTGTTGACCTAAGAGAGCGTGTTTCTATTTCGAGACAACAGCCAGCCGATCCATCATACCACCGTGGCACATGTTCTCCCTCATTCACCAAACATCATCACCAGAAATCAGATTCTGTTCCCATGTTACCCAAGCTCCCATCTCTTGTCACGACTAGGCCAGAGTTGCTGACAGCTTGGCCTCGTCGTCCTAATTTAGATACCTCCTAGCAGGCAGGCACCTGCAGGGGCCAGCGGTGAAGGCCTCCAGGGGCGCGGAAGCAGCGTAGCCCTTCGTGCTGAGCCTCCTGCGAGCCCACCGTGCTGCATCACACCCTGCGCCTTCGCCTTGCAATCAGCCTCCTGCCACTAATAAGTGCTGGAGCGAGAGCATCAGCCATGGAGACGCTTGACTGTTCCAGGCAGCCTTTCCAGCCAGGTGAACGCCGAAAGCGCACGCGCCCCTGACAACGGGGGCAAGCGCCCCTGACAACGGGGGCGAACGCCCTTTCCGAGTTCAGCGTCTGCATTCACAGCGCCGCAATGGAACACTGCTGTCGCCCTCTGACATGGTTCTGACAAAACTCAGCCTACACCGGACGAGTGGACTGGAATGGTGCCGAGGCATGAGGCCGAGAAACCTACTGACCTCTGAGATAACCTGCGATATCTGTCGTCATGCCAAGGCCCTTTTTTGTCACATCGCTGGTAGTATTAGAGTCACCTGAAATAAAAGGCCATTTCGATCAAGAACCTTTCCCTACCATCCATATTCACTTCCAAACACAGTTCTCCCCAGATAAAAAGAATCAGCGATTCTTCACATGCTTTCACAAGTGCTCGCCCGTGGCTTGGCTGGCCGGCCAGATTGCCGAGTGATGGTCCAGGCCGGCGTCGGAGCCGAAGTGGCATCGGACATTTCCCGCATCCATACATGTCCGGATTCCCGCCAGTGTGAGACTACAGCACACGAGCCAACAAAAATGGAAACTTTGGTAACATTCATCTTAACAAGTCGAGCTTTGGAGCTCCTTCGGCCTTCCCTTCGTAAACCCCAGCAACGTGACGATCGCCTCGCCCTTGGGATCCGCCGAGTCAATCTCGCTGTACACCCTCCTCTTGGCAAAGCCCGTCTTGGTCAGGATCCTCTGGCTGGCCACATTGTCGTCGACCGTGACGGCCGTGTACTGCTCCTCCGCCAGCCCGTCCTCCCCGACCCTCACCGTGCCCCGGTCGACCCGCAGCTCGCAGACCTCCCTCGGCAGCGCCCACCAGGCCGCCAGGAACCCCGTGACAAACTCGGTCGCGAAGCCCCGGCCCCAGTGCTCCTTGACGAACATGTACCCGAGGACGGGCCACCCAAACTCGCCGACCATGACGTGGCACCCGCCGCAGCCGACGAACTCGCCCGAGTCGCGCAGGCAGATGGCGCAGTTGAACGTGTGCGCGTCGTTGGGCGGCAGGCTCAGCGCGAGCTTGGCCTGCGTCTCGGCGACGTCAAGGTCGATGCGGCCGGCGGCCGTGTTGCGCATGACTTCCGGCTGCGTGCGGAGGACGCGCAGTGCGTGGATGTCCGATTCGGCAAAGGAGCGGATCATGAGACGCGGCGTCAGGATGGGCTGGCGCGAGGCGTGGGCGGGGAGTGGCCTCGCGGGCAGAGTTGTCTTGACAGTGATGAAATCAAGGGGCCCTTCGATGAGGGCCTCGCTCGCGGGGGTTGAGGAAGCCATGATGTCTAGGCGGTCCGAAGTGAGAAGGCGTGTTCAACCGACTCTGTGAGAAGGGAAGCGGCGTATAAGTGCGAGACAGATCTCGTTCTTGTCTATTCATTCGTGCACACAGCCAACAGAGGTTGACTCACTTGCCAGTATCAGCGTGCACAGAGCATCGCGGGGTATATGACAGCCTGGAATACGGCATACGATGGGCGCTAGTCGGAGCGCTACAAAATGTCTGAACACTCATCGCCTGGATCGGTGAGGCCGCATCTTGGATCTTGACAGAGCAGGCACAGACGTAACAAGTTGATCTTCACATTGGGGAGTAGCTCATTCACGATGTATAGTCAAAATAGAATGTGGCTATCATGTGAGAACACATAGACAAGCAAATCAATGGGAGAGGAAACGGATGAATCGAATGCACGATAAGCCCCACTCACCTGCCCAGGGCTGACGACGGTTGAGGTTGGCTCGCTACTACCATGCTTCCTTGGTCGAAGGATCAACGACATCACCACTTGACCCCCCTGCATGCACATCAATCTGTCATCCGCCAAAATCTCCGAGTCTTCAATGGACATGGAGAACCTGAACTTGAATCGTGAGGCACATATTTCGCGGCCCGATTTCGTTCAGCTCAAACTCATACCTGGTGTATCTGCCTTGGAATCGCACCACCTCTTGTCGCTCACGACTACTTCATGAACGATGCCGCCTCTCTCACAACAAGATGCTTCCAACAAACCATTGAGCTGCGCAAATTGTCGCCAAAGGAAGATTAAATGTGACAAGATTGAACCTCGCTGTACACAATGTACGCGATCTGCCCTCGACTGCGTCTTTCCAGCGCGCAAGCGCACTCGCAAGCCCAGACAGGCTCGGCAAAGCGAACTGTTGAACCGCATCCACCGTTTGGAGAGTATCGTCGGCCAGGTCGAGTCTGCCGCCGCCGCCAAGCCTCCGCTGGGGACACTCATCAAGGCGGAATCTGATGCGCCTCATGCCCAGGAACAAAAAGAGGCACCAGGCAACGCTGTGACAAATGCAGGGTCAGCGACGACATCCCGTGAGACATCTGTGGCCCCGAACAACTATCTCAGCAGCGACTTCTGGTCGAATTTATGCGACGAGGTCGATGGGATCAAGCAAGCTCTGGACCAGTCGTCGGAGAGCGACAATTCAGATGACGACGAAGGATTGTTTTTCAGCTCCGAGTCTCCCTCCCAGACGCACACATCCCCTGTAGCTACGTCCGGCTTGATTACGACTTTTTCAGGCGACATAAACTCCTACGGTCCACAACATCCTTCACAGGCTCAAATCAGGCATCTTTCGCGGACATATTTCACCAATGTTGATCCCGTCATCAAGATTCTTCATCGTCCAACCGCTGCCGCAGAGCTTACTCACTTTGCCGACTCGCTGGACGCCAAGACCATCAGCAACGACACGGCAGCGCTCTTTTTTGCCATGTATTATGCCGCTGCCACCTCCATGAGTCATGAAGAATGTCTGCTTTTCTTGTCAGAGGACAGATCCAGCATTATCCGGCGTTATCAGCAAAACCTTGAGCGAGCGCTGCACAGAGCCGACTACCTGTGCAGCTCAAAGCTCAAGACCATCCAAGCCTTCACTATTTATGTGGCCGTCCTTCGCTCTCATGGTGCTAGCAGGTCTTCCTGGGCGCTCCTGGGTCTTCTCATCCGCCTCGCCCAAGGTCAAGGTCTTCATCGTGAAGGAGCATTGCTTCCTAACCTGAGCCCCTATGAGACAGAGCTGCGCCGCCGTTTGTGGTGGATGATCATTGTTCTTGACGTCCGGGCCGCCGAAGACCGCGGCACCGAAGTCATCATTCTCCCCGGGTCCTACGACACCCACATGGTAGCCAACATTAACGACGAGGATTTTGGCCCGGACACTCTCACGAAACTCGTAGACAGATCCGGACCCACCGACATGAGCTTTGGCTACGCAACGGCCATGGCATCGGGCACCCTCGGCTCCATCAAGCACCCTCCCATCCAACATTTGAACCCAGACATCAACGACGCAGCCACCCTGTCTTCCGTCTCGTCCCCTGCCCTCGGCACAGCCTCCAACTCGCCCACGGAAGAAGTCATCGTCCGCCAGGCCCAGCGCCTCGAAGCCCTCTTCCTGACGTCGCCCACGGCCCCGTCCCTCGCCATCGACAGCCACCCCGCCGCCGGGCCGGCCGCCATCACGACGAGGGTCATCATCCTCAAGCTCTGGCTCTCGCTGCAGTACCCCTTCCAGCACCGCCCCGCGTCCCTGCACCCGCCCCGCCTCCGCGTGCCCCGCCCTACCATGCTGCGCACCGCCATCTCCGTCCTCGAGCTCGTCCACCATGCACGGCAGCACCCCCAGGCCGCGCGCTTCCACTGGTGGTACGACATGTACCCCCAGTGGCACCCGCTCGCCGTGGCGCTGGCCGAGCTGTGCGCGCAGACGGAGGGCGAGCTCGTCGACAGAGCGTGGGTCGTCGTCGAGGGGGCGGTCCCGAGACTCGAGAGCATGGTGGCTGACACGAGGAAAGGGCCGCTGTGGCGACCGGTGAAGAAGCTGTTGAAAAAGGCGAGGGGGCTGCGGGCCGAAGCTCTGAAGAGGAGAGGCGGCGGAGTGACGCATGCTCCGCAGGGGACGAACGTGGCGGTTGTGGAAGAAAACAACGACGGCGTCACTGACGATGTCATGTTACCTGCGGCGACTGAACTTGCTGCCGAGCCCTATGCGGCGGACGCAGGAGACGCCCAAGCCGACTTATCCTTCCTCAGTGAGCCGTGGCAATGGGACAGTGCGCAGGAGTTGTACGACGAATGGGTTGCCCCTGTCGAGGGGGGTGATCCATCTATGGACTGGACGACCTGGAATGAGTTCTTAGATGACGCGCAGGTGGAGGGGTCGCCGAGTGAATAATAGACCAGAGCCGCCCCCATCAAGACCTCAGTGGCAAGACGCGCTTGGCATTGCACAGAAAAATAGGTAGCGACGAGTAGAACAATCACCACGCATGAATATAACGATCACAGTAGAGGAAGCAGTTCATGCGTCAATTCCTGGTTGATTCGTTGTGCCCTCTGTTCAAGGGAGCAAATGCACGTGGTAGTTCCATGAGACCTAGTAAACACCTGCAGTACCTGCCCAACCTTCCCCGCGACGAAGAAACCCGAAAAACTTAAGCTTTTGTTTACGCAAACGTGGTGGGGCGCTTGGCGCTGAAGAGCTTCTGGTTGCTGATCTTGCTGACGCGGTGGGGGAGGGGGAAGGAGAGGTTCTTGGTGAGAAGCTGCTTGATGTAGGGACGCTTGACGTCGTCGCCCTTCTCGAGCTCGTCGACGCGGAGGACCTGGTGTGCTGTTAGCGTCGGGGATCGGTATCCGGCGGCTGGGAGGCCGCGGGGTGGAAGCGCGTACGTGGATCGACCTGAAGCGGGAGCGGTGGCGAGCGGCCATGTCTTGGTAGAGGGCCTCAACGGCGTCGGTGCGGCTCATCTCGCGGTACTCCTTGTACATGTTGTGGGTACCGGAGCGCGAGTCGTAGCGAATCCAGATGCCGAAGTTCTTGACCTTGAGAGGGTGCTTCTCGTAGATCTGCAGAAGCCGTTAGAGGCTGTTTTCGTCGTGCTGATCGACTCGTCATGCTGCTACTTACCGACTTGACCGAGATGATCTCACCAGTGGCCTTCTTGACCTTCTTCAGGCCGCGCATGAAGTACCAGTAACGGGACTTGGCCACCGTGGTGTTGGGGGCGAAGATGGTCATGCGGTAGAGGGTGGGAGTGGGCTGGGACTCCGTGGGCAGATGGCGCCCAATGACCTCGTATTCCTGAAGGCGACCTTTGGACAATGTTAGTTCTCCAGTTCGCCACGTGCCAGCCGTTCATGAGCCATCATGTGCGCAATGCCGTAAATAAAAGTGCCAATGGTCGAGGAGCTGCCAGTGGCCGGTCGGGAAACAGTCGTCAGTCGTGTAGTAGTGGTCGAGGCACATGGTCAATTCCAGCAGATGCCCTTGCAATTCTCAACATGCCCCTCCAACAAATGATGTGCTCGAAATTCGACGTCGAAGACACATTCAGAGCTCGTTCGCTTTCCTCCAGTCGAAATTGATCGCCAGCACGTTGCTAGTCGTCTTCCGGGGCTCGAGCATGGCTGACCCGTGAGGTAGTGTGTCGTATCCAATCCGGAAAAGTCGTGGGAAATTTTGTCGTCGGTCGCTCATGGCATTGCACATCGATGGCTCTTGCACTTGTGCAAAGGAATAGAGATCTGCTTACCCATCTTGAAGGTGGTTAGTAAAGTGTCGACGAGAAAGTGGTGTTGAAAGCAGCAAACTCACTTTAGCGGTATTGTCGATGGCCGTCGGTCGATATCGTTGGTGGTTGCAGGGTCGGGACGCAAAGACGCTGTAGAGAGTGAAAAAGTTCAAAATCTTGAGGGCTTCGACGACCTAAGCGAGATCCACTTTTCGACTACGCTAGGTTGACGCTGATGCTGGGAGGTCGGCACGTGATAATGGTGGGGTTGGCTCCGCAAGACAGCCACCCAGCTGCTCCCAGCTGGTGAAGTGGCTGGGAGGTGGTCCAGGACAAGAACATTTCCCACCAACCCGTCTGAGGGTCCACTATGCGTGGAGTAGGTACCACGGACCTCAGATCCTAGTGATTGTCTTTGAGCACCTAGACGGGTACAATGAGATCTCACCGTTGACATACATCTCGGCTCATCGACAGCTCTCTGGTAGCAGCACAAAACTGAAGGGCATTAATCTGTAGGGACAGTTACAGCTTTTCGTCCGCACGAACCTTGTCACCGAAAGACTGGATCGCGCCTATGGTTTTGCGCTGTATCCCTAGCCATCTCTACTAGGCCTTGGTCACGAAAGCGTGATGGAGGCTCTCTTCAAGGAAGTTGGCCGTGCCTTTACGGAAAACACAGGGTCAAACGGCTATGATCTTGCCAAGACTCTTTCGCCCACATCACCCTCGGATCAGCTACATCGGCTGGCATCAATCAAGCTGTCAACGAATGCATTCAATGTCAAGCAGGATGTCAAGCACTTCCTGACCCAAGCCATCTCCAAAAAGAACGGATTTGGCGGCCGGGGCGATGTCAGGCAACAGATCAATGGCTGGGTCGAGGTCTATGCCGCCTACTGGAAGGCTATCAACGAGATTTTGGCAGTGGAAGGAAATGATGCCGCGGACAACTCAGTGAGTGTTTTGTGTGCAGAGTTCGTCGCCCTCAAATCATGAGCAGCTAATTGTCTCTAGAGTTTGAAGAAGCCATCCTGGACCAAAGTTTACGACGCCTGGAAGGAGATGACTATTGCATTGCACAGAGGCTACACAAACTACGGCTTTGAGGCGTGGACGATACCGTGCCTCTACACGGCCGGCAAGTATCTGAGACTCTTCGCCATCAAGGCAGACGCAGAAAGGAGCACAACAGGGGCTGCGGGCGAAGAGGAGGTTCAGCTCGGTGACGACTTTGATCCGGAAACGGAGGAGCATCAAAAGCTCAGGGACTGCGAGCAGCAGCTGAAGCGCATCTTCACTCTGTGTCTAAGCGACCGGTATGCAGCATTGAGCGCATGCATTTCTGTTCACTCTGACCAAGCAACAGATCAACAGATATTTATGACACACGCAAATGGGGAGTCTACGCTACCATTAACCTTCTCTTCAAGACTTACTTCAAATTAAACTCGGCAAGCCTGGCACGAACGATTCTGAAGGCTCTGGCGACAAACAGAGCCGACATGGCGCCGCTCGAAGCGTACCCCGCACCGCAGCGAGTAACGTTCAAGTACTACGAGGGAGTGCTGTTCTTCTTGGAGGAGAACTACGTTGAGGTATGCGACATTGCGTCCCTCCTCCCCAGCGAGCAATACGTAATCTAACAATTTCAGGCCGAGAAGCACCTGACAGAAGCGTGGAGTCAATGCCACAAGGATGCACTTGGTAACAAGGAGTAAGTCGGCATGCATCGTAATGGCGTAGCCTATCCACTGACCACGTTATTAGGAGAATCCTTACATACCTGATCCCGTGTCTACTATTGACAACGCACACTTTGCCCAGCAAAGCGTTGCTCGAACCTTTCCCCCGGCTCCAGGCCCTATTCCTTCCTCTGGCGCGCTGCATTAGGCGAGGTGACCTTCACGGCTTTGATGTCGCTCTTCAAGAGGGCGAGGAAGAGTTCGTCAAGCGCAGAATCTACCTCACGCTCGAGCGCGGCCGTGACATTACGCTCCGAAACCTGTTGAGAAAAGTGTTCTTGACCAAGGGCTTTGAGGAGCCCAAGAACCCTGGTGACGCCCCACTACGCAAGACCCGTGTCCGTGTTGCTGAGTTTGCCGCGGCCATCAGTCTTGGAAGCCGTGAGACGGTGGATATGGACGAGGTCGAATGCTTGCTGGCGAATATGATCTACAAGGTAGGCATCCCTCCCTTTCCGGTTTGTTCGCGCGTGTTTGATTGGCCGTTGCTTGAACCGGTCAATGTCTCCAGATGGTTGCCTTGAAGAGTCACCGGTTAGACACAGCAGTGCTCCTGCAGCTGCACTGCGTCGACGGCCGTTGCGTGCTTCCGGCCCTTGTATAGCCTCATCGGCAGTTTCTTGCCTGCCAGGCAGCTGTGAATGGCATCCCGTCAATTCGCTACCCGATGCCCTGAGGCTACTACACATGCATGCTCTTCGCAATCATTGGCGCACCTACACAAGAGCAAACCCACTCGCACTGGAGTCCGTCGCTGACCAGCACGTACAGAATCTCATGAAGGGTTACATCTCACGCGAACACGGCATAGTTGTCCTGTCCAAGAACGGCGCATTCCCCGGAACAGGGATCTAGCACACTGGGGAGGCAAGTGACTGGGGATGCGCTCACCCAGGGAAGCCAAGGCGTTTTCGGAGAAGCAAACGAGCCATGGTCTTGCGTTTGGCAATGGCATCCTCCGATTTATTAAAGCGGCGGCGTTGTATGTGATACCTATCTCTATTCCATCTCATTGGCTCGCTCGGCACAATAGCAAACCGGGCTTGTGCTTGCTGAGATGTCTGAGCCTGGTAGAGCTTGGCCTGGTGCACTAATTGAAGACCAACGGTCCAAGTCATTGCGCTAGACGTCTGGTCGATGAGTTTGGGAGCAGACGTGTGCCTTTTCTTTTCTTCTTCATCACTGCTGCAAGGGCAGTGCTGGCCCAAGTTCACAATGGGCGGCCAAATTCACGCTCGCGCACGCCGCCTTGGCTCGAGCACGACCTCCTCGCATCGACCCAGCATCCCGGGACACTCCCCCGGAATCCCCTGCCAGCCCAAGCCCCCGCTGGCACCACCACCACCACCAGGGCCCGAGCTAAACAGGGGGTTTAAGTGGTTTCGCGGAGGGCTACAGGTCTGCACCGTGACTCACGCGTCGAGGCACCTCTCGCACGATATCACGGTGCACCACCCCCTCAAATGCATGCTGAACCATTGCAAGCACAAAAAAAGGCAAACAACGCCCGCCAGATGCTAAACGCATGGTGTGGCAAGCTAAGATTCAGGCCGCATCCCTGCCTTTTGAGCGGGGGCACTTGTTCACAAGACGTGCATGGCTTATCAGTGAGGCCTCTGTCGGGGAACTGCACCCGGATGTCGGATTACTGCTTCCCGCATTTTCGCATTTGCGATCGGCACGCGTTTTTTTTTTGGCAACGGGCGCCCGTCTCAAAAGGTGTCACAGATTGATGCACATGGCACAGCAATACGCCGAGAGCCTCACTTGCAGAGCACATTGCCACTTCACGATATGTAGTGTGATCAGATACTGCTCGTCAATCAAAGTTTCTCTTCCGTCAATCATCTTAGAATGAGCGTCAAGAATAAAAATACACACGTCCTCCGTGACAATCTGCTCCTTCAGTACAATGC